GTTACCAATCAGACTAACATGCATGTTTTTGGTCTGTAGGAGGAAACCGGAGTACCCGAAGAAAACCCACATATGCACAAAGAGAACATGCAAGCTCCACCCAGAATCCAGTCAGGGGTCCTTTCTGGGTGGAGTTTGCATGTTCTCTTCGTACATGCATGGGTTTTCTAAGGGTACTCTAGTTTCCTCCTACAGACCAAAAACATGCATGTTAGTCTGATTGGTAACTCTAAATTGTCCCTAGGTGAGAGTGAGAGAGTGAATGGTTGTTTGTCTCATTTGTCTCTATGTGTCCCTGTGATGGACTGGAGACCTGTCCAGGGTGTACTCCGCCTCTCGCACAGTGATGGCTGGACATAGGCACCAGCGACACAAAAAGGAAGAAGTGGGTAAAGATAATGGATGGATGGATGTTGTACTTGAATACAAGAGGCTGGTTGTACCTGCTGGCTGTTCTGTTTAGCATTGGGTTGGGAAAGATCTAACAAGGTTGTGCCAGGTCCTCTAGACAGATTCTTCTTTGTTGAAACATTTTGTCTTTTATCCAGAACACTTCTTCAGTCTAAGGAACTGAAACAAACAAGTATTATCCACAGCACCTTCTCATTAAGGATCAAGCAGTTCGCTACTGATAGCCAAATCTAGTTGTTCGAATGCAGAAGGAGGACCATCAACTTAACAACTTATAATTAGTGCCGTAATAATTGATCATTAGTGCCATGATGGCTGCTTGCTGTTCACAGAAGTTTGAGTGATGCAATAATAGGATTGTAAGAGAGTGACAGCTTAACACGGAAGCATTGGTATAAATATGGCAAGTTGGCATACAGTATATGTTCAGCTTGTTGATAGTGATTAAAACCTGAACTATTAGCCCTTACAACAGTTATTGGGGATGAAATTACCACATCAAATTTTCCTCAGTCATTAAGTAATGGATAATTCTAAATGAAAAAAAATTGAAGACAGCTGGACTTCTTCTCCTGTTTATTGAAAACAATTGACCTATCCAAAATACCTCTTCAATTTTGACTGTGGATTAGGAATTTAAGGCTTATAACTAGTTATAATGATCACAACAAAAGTGGTGTAAAGGTCACACGACCCATTCCACCATCCTGTGATTTTTTTTTTTCCTTGCTGATGAAGAATTTATCGTAACAAGGCTGAAATATGTGAGCTTTGTTGGTCACATGTTCAAGGTGTAAACTGCAAAAAAACGAATGGGAAGAAGAGTCAAGCTTCCTTATAAGGCCAATCCACACAATAACTTTTCTGGCCTATTTGACACTAAATTGTTTAGATATATTATATATTTATATTAGAAAAATATGATCTAATATGGGCTGCACGGTGGCGCAACTGGTAGAGCTGCTGCCTCTCAGTGAGCAGGTCCCTGGTTCAAACCCCGGTCCAGGGGCCTTTCTGGGTGGAGTTTGCATGTTCTCTCCGTGCATGCGTGGGTTTTCTCCGGGTACTCCGGTTTCCTCCCACAGACCAAAAACATGCATGTTAGGCTGATTGGTAACTCTAAATTGTCCCTAGGTGTGAGTGAGAGAGTGAATGGTTGTTTGTCTCCATGTGGCCCTGTGATGGACTTGCAACCCGTCCAGGGTGTACCCCGCCCCTCGCACAGTGATTGCTGGACATGGGCACCAGCGACCCCCGTGACCCAAAAAATGGAATAAGCGGGTAAAGATAATGGATGGATGGATGGATGATCTAATATTTGTATTTATTTATTTATTTACAATCATACTATTTAAATCAGAAATGTGCAATAACTCGCCTTTTTACAGCTTGAAAATAGAATCTTTTTAACAACAGTGCCTCAGGGCACAGATAAAGATCTCCTATATTTTACTTATATGGTGTCTGTTGAAATACTGTTCACTTTAGCCAAAATAACGAAACTGGTATTCATGGAAACAGTGCAATCTTCTGTGTCTCCAAGACTGGAACTCCCTTCCTCAAACTCTCAGAGCAGCGGACTTTAAAGGTCAGCTAAAAAAAACTTATATTTTTAAATCTGCTTTTGCTTAAATTTGTTTTGTTCTTTTGTTCTTTTGTTTGATGAATCACTTTGTGATTTTTATCTTCAGAGGTGCTGAATAAATAAAATTTTACTTACTTACTTATGTTAATTCAGAACTTTGTAAACTTGAACTGCCCCCTGACTGACTTGAGCCAGACAGGTGACGTAAAATGTGTGAGAAAAACAATGACCCAAGCATTCAAAACAGTGTTATTATTATTATGATTATTATTATTATTATTATTATTATGTGGGACATGGGGCAGCACGATGGCGCAGTGCTTTCGTCTCTCAGTGAGCAGGTCGCCCCGGTTCAAATCCTGGCTGGGGGCCTTTCTGGGTGGAGTTTGCATGTTTTCTCCGTACATGCATGGGTTTTCTCCTGATTGGTTTCCTCCCACAGATCAAAAACATGCATTCTAGATGAATTGGTAACTCTAAATTGTTCCTAAGTGTGAGTGAGTGAGTGAGTAAGTGAATGGTTGTTTGTCTCTTTTGTCTCTATGTGTCCCTGTGATGGACTGGAGACCTGTCCAGGGTCTACCCTGCCTCTCAAAGAGTGATTGCTGGACATGGTCACCAGTGACCCCCATGACATGAAAAGGAAGAAGCAGGTAAAGATAATGGATGTATGGATGATGTGGGAACTCATGCACCACACCCCATCCATCCATCCATTCATCCATCCATCCACTTATTTTCCCCAATTCTTTCTTTTCATGTCACAGGGGTCACTGGTGCCCATGTCCAGCCATCACTGTTTGAGAGGCAGAGTACACCCTGGGAAGGTCACAAGTCCATATTAGGGACACAGACAAACAACCACTGACTCTCTCACTCGCACCTAGGGACAATTTAGAGTTACTAATCGGGCTAACATGCATGTTTTTGGTCTTTGGGAGGAATATTCAAACAAAACTCCAAACTCCACCCAGAAAGGCTCACAACTGGAATTTGATCCATCAACCTTCTCAATTAGAAGCTAAAGTTGTACCAACTGACACTTTGCTGCCCACAACCCTATGTTTTTTTTTTTTTTGTATATATACTTTAAAGACTAAAGTGTCAAACTGAGGACTTTTGTGCAAGCAGGTCCAGCCTGTTTTGAACATCACCAAATAATTCAGTTTGAGGTCCCCTACAACACTGCAGAGAAAGGCCTTTCACCTTCTTTATGGTGGACTTCCTGTCTACACAGTGAATTCCTCTCTATGCAATAGAGTTTCTGGATATGTGGTGGGTGAATGGATTGTCCATGGATCGAGTAAAAGCAAGGACAAAAATGTTTATCACAAGTATTCAGGAATGGCAAAACAATTTTCTGACAAAAGTGGTTACATGGTAACATTCTCTTTTACATTGAGCTGAAATATAGGTGAACATTCAATCACAAAATAATTTTTGCACACAAGTAAAATACAAATGGCATCACATTTTGTTCATAAAATGGCTTTTAGATTTTAGAATGCTTTTGGTGATCCTTTCCCCATCAAATTCTTCTTTGTATTTTTTTCTGGTTTCATGAGCATGATGTAACATTTTGGGAGGAAAATACAAATCAGCAGTCCAAAACTTGAGGCAAGAATGGCAAAAATTTCTACAGCAACACTGAACTTTCCAGGAGAGCTGACATATGCTGGGATAAAAGTGATCCAGACTGCACAGAATATCAGCATGCTGAAGGTGATGAATTTAGCCTCGTTGAAATTATCTGGCAGTTTCCGTGCCAGAAAAGCACAAATAAAGCACAACACAGCCAGAAGTCCAATGTACCCAAGCACAGACCAGAAGCCTACAGCTGAACCTAGAGCACACTCCAAGATGATTTTATCTTTAAATTCTTTGAAATTATTTGATGGAAAAGGAGGGGAAACAGCTAACCAGATGATACATATGATCAACTGTATAAGAGTAAAACCCAGAACACAGAGTCTCTGCTGTGCAGGTCCAAACCATTTCATCACATTTGCTCCTGGAAGTGTAGCTTTAAACGCCATCAAAACCACCATTGTTTTCCCCAAAACACAGGAGATACAGAGGACGAAGGTGATGCCAAAAGCTGTGTGACGGAGCATACAGGACCACTCAGAGGGACGTCCAATGAAGGTCAGAGAGCAGAGAAAACACAGAGTCAAGGAGAAAAGCAGCAGGAAGCTCAACTCAGAGTTTGTTGCTTTGACCAGAGGAGTTTTCCTGTATTTGATGAAAATGACAGCAACAATAGCACTTAGACATGTTCCAAACAAAGAGGCTGCTGTGAGCAGTGCTCCCATAGTCTCTTCATATGACAGAAACACGGCCTCCTTCTGTATACAGGCATCTCTTTTCTCATTTGACCAAAACTCAGGAAAGCATCTCAAACAGGAGACAGAATCTGTAAAATTACATTAAAAGACTTAGCTCAATGAGTACAAATACAGTATAATTTGTGCTTTTTCAGACATTTGTCTTTTTCCACCTATTTTACCCAAACAAACCTAAGACAGATTTTTCTGAATTAGTGACAAAGAACTACTTAATGAAGGACTTTTTTAAATAAACTACTTTTTTTTTTAGATTAACATGTGACTAAACTGGTTAGTTTTATGAAATTTTATTATAGTTAATATAAACTTGTGTTTTATGTGAACATAGTATTTTTTATTTATTGCTATGAATACAACATTTGTAAAAAGCAGTATTAATAAATATCTTTTTTGAATAAAATTGACAACAAATTGAAACATGACCCTTTTTTATCTGGGAGCTTTAATTCTGATGACTAAAACCATCCATCCATCCATCCATTGTCTTTACCCGTTTATTCCATTTTGGGTCACGGGGGTCGCTGGTGCCCATGTCCAGCAATCACTGTGCGAGGGGCGGGGTACACCCTGGACGGGTCGCAAGTCCATCACAGGGCCACATAGAGACAAACGAGACAAACAACCATTCACTCTCACTCACACCTAGGGACAATTTAGAGTTACCAATCAGCCTAACATGCATGTTTTTGGTCTGTGGGAGGCAACCGGAGTACCCGGAGGAAACCCACGCATGCACGGAGAGAACATGCAAACTCCACCCAGAAGGCCCCTGGACCGGGGTTTGAACCAGCGACCTGTTCGCTGAGAGGCAGCAGCTCTACCAGTTGCGCCACCGTGCTGCCCATGACTAAAACCAACTGAATGAATTACAAACTAACCTGTTGAGTTGCTCATGTCTCCCTCTGCACATCTAATACAGTCATAGCAGCAAACAGGTTTTCCTTTCTGGAGAACTTTACGTGTTCCTGGAGGACACTTTCCACTGCAAACTGACACAGGGACCTGCAAGAACAAAAGCAACAATAAAAAAAAATGTTATTGTTTAATATATATTTTTTTCTGTTTGCTGCATTAATAAACAAGTCTAGAATATAATCAGAAGTGTCATAATACATCATCATGGACAATGATAATAATTCTGTGGGATCTGACCTGCATTGATTTTTGTGCCCAAATTAAAGACTCTGTTTGCACATTCATCTGTTTGTCTTCAGGTAACGATGCATCATAAAGACCAACGGTGACAAAGTTCACAATGCCATTTTGTCTTGGCTGCCAATTTATAATTTCATATTTTGCTGCTGGATCTCCATGCTCATTAAAATAAACCTCATCTCCTTCCGTTGTCTCAAAGTGAATCCTTTTTATTTGCTGTAAAACCTAAAATGTCAACTCATAACTACTCAGTGAACATTTTCCAGACCTGTTGTCTCAAGTATATACAATTTATAAAACCTTGCAATTTATTGCTGAAATATTGATGTACTATAATAGTAATTCTTGTTACACTCACCGTGTATGGCTCTAGCTGCAACCTGTTGTTGCATGTTGCATTACAACCGAGAATATTGTGCAGAGCATGAGCTGCTGCATACACTCCTTTATACATATTGTTAAAAATTGGCATGAGGGACATGTCAGTGAAGCTGTTTTCCACTCCAGTCAGATCCTCATGTCC